AACGTATTTTAGGATTTTTTTCATTAAATTCTTCTTTAAACTCCATTCAATAATACAATTTTTATACATAATTGAATGCTATGCTACTATTTACAAAAAATAAAATCTGAAATCCAATAAAAGATAAGTTCTCTATAATTTTTTCAATTCACAAATGTGATTTTGACCTCACGATAAGACAAAATGGCCATGGTAGGTAAGGGGTTAATGTAGTTATAAATCTCCTTAACAAATATTTATAGGAAACCTACAGGTTAATTCATACTGTCCAATCAATAGAATTCAATCAAGAAATCACTGGTTTTGTTGAATTATGCTATTATGATAGATTTGCTCCAGTAATACCCAACTGAAGCAGGTGCAAGTAAGGTGCAGACTATAAGATTAAAATTAAAATTTTTTACAGCAAAATTCTGTATATGCATATGTACACAAACATTTTAAAATTGAACTATTTCCTCTCCAAATTAAAAGCTTTTCTATGCAAAAACATCAGAAATTACAACTAATTTTCACTTCCCTCCACTAGAGGGCTAAATTAATTTCTGTCAATTCTACTTTGTTAGGAGTCTTCAATGAAATAAGACAAACAATGAAACATTACTAGTTATTGATTACTAATAATAATCTACTAGAAAGTGTTAAATGCATCAATTACAGGCTTTTGTGACAATACTTACTGTTAGCAAGCATCATCTCAGGCATTTACAGTTAATCTTTTTTTACATTTTACTCAATAATTGAAATGGAAATCACCAAAAATGTCTTCCTGTTCATAGTATTAAAAGTTTGATTACAAATGTTTCACAGATTGTTTCAAATGCAACTGCTTCTTTAGAAACTCAATGGTCATTGTGAATATATTAAATGTTCATCATTAGGATCATACCTCTGGTAAAAATCAAATTAGATGAACTGACTAAATTTTTGGTACAAAATTCTGATGCTAATTCTTCCTCCTTCCAGGCCTTGAACAAGTTTGCCAATGCAATATGGTCACTTCCCACAGTATGATCAAATTTCTTCTTCACCTGATGAAATATTCAACAACACAATAGCATAATATTTTAGACAAATAATATTTAGTAACAAGCTCTTTCACACATCCATGAAATAAGATTAAACAGACTTAAAAAGATTTATAGAACTGTTATATGATTTCTGAAAGACTATTTATTTAATCATGACAATTATCTTTAACATTAATTACGAAACATTTAGATTACTTTAAACCAGATCTATATATACTCTTATGCTCTGAAAACATTCACTTAAAGCAGTTAAGTCATTTATTCTTGGAATTTAGTTAACCAATTTAAAATATTCAACAAGAAAATCAGAGTAACCATACCTCACGTATCACAGCTTTATTTTCTAAATTAGTTAGAAATGGATCTCTAGTGGAGGAGAGAAGTGCAGCAATGGTCAAAACTGTGTCAACGCATCTATTAAAAAAAAAGTCTCACTCAGTTTTTAAATACTTTGCTGCATAAAATATCAGAAGTTGATACATCAGGTGAAATTAAAACACAATGTAATGAAAAAAAAATTTAAGTTTCATAGAAATTAATAAAAATGAGAACTTTATATCTTTAGTAAATAAAAGCACAGATTATTTCTAAGACAAACCAATGCATACTATTATCGAGATGTTTGAGAGTCAGCCATCCTGTATGAACTCTGTTTATTCAACTTAAAGAGTGCACTACATAACAATACATCATGAAATCTCCCTTCTTTTAAAAGTAGACAATTTACACACAAGGCTTTTCATGAATACCACAAGTATAGTTTGATTACTGTCTGCCCATTACAATTTTAGTGACAGGGGTGCCATGAAACCTTAAAGTGTGGTGAGTGTTGGTATAATAAGCCTAAAGTAAAGATATAGTGTGGGATCACCTAGCCTAGAGTCAAGTGCATAAAATTTATCCTGAAATTAAAAATATCAATTCAATTTTAAACTTTAATCGTTTCTGAAGTAAGCTTTTTCTGTTATATCACCAATGTTTTTAATAAAATACAAATCTCTTTTATCAATGGAGACTCTAAATTAAGAAATCAACAAATATTTTTCCAGTTTTGTTGTTATACATTTCATTTTATACTTTAAGTACATAGACTAAGAACAATATCAGGTTATATTTTTGTTGCTCAGCAACATGAGATAAAAGCCATTGTTGGAATGTAAGTGTTACCAAACTGCACTGGCTTTCCTATATATTGATTTTTACCAATAATTATTCTATGAATAAGCAACTAGTTAATTTCATGAATGATCTTAATTTTGATTGGCTCACAAAGGAATTTGCATATATTTGACTACCTCAACTGCTCTTTTCTGCCTCTTTGTTGGTCAAGCTTGATTTCGCAAAATGTATTTATTTCAGTTAGCTATGAAATGTGTGGTCAGGGTATACTATGGGGTGGGAGTGGTAGTACTTGCCCCATCATTTTTGATGGACTATACTTTAGTATAATCATAAAAGCAAGTATACATTTTCATGTAAAATCTTAACACTGGTGATCAGTGAAGATTAATAAATCATGCAACTGAAACAGACTTTTTTCCTTTTAATATTCACTTGTCCATAAATTTAGTACAAGTTTTTAGCAAATTAGAGTTTACACTGAGATTTAATTATTAACACAACTTATTGACAATGCAAACCCATAGCACTCTTCAATGAGTCTTGAAGCTCTTTTACCCAGCCTTCCACTAGCTGTTTTGATCCCTTCACTCTTACTCTTCTCTTTATTATGTGTTTGATCATGAATATTAGTCATGGTTTGACCTTGGGCTACACTTTCTTCCAGTATTGGAGGAGTTATACCAGGTGGACTTAGATTGTTTTGAGTAAGTGCCTTCAGTTTCTCCTGAAAATACCATGGGGAGTTTGAACAAGGCAAGATCTAGGACGATTTGCTTTAGATTGGACCACAGCAGGTTCCCATGTTTCTTCCTGTGTTTTTACTCTTACTACATCTCCTTCTGAGATAGATGGTAATGGTTTAGTATGTTTATCATAGTATTCTTTCTGCTTTAGTTGCTTGTTTAGCAGTATACTGTTAATCGAGGTATCATGGTGTTCTGGTTTCAGGAGTTCTGAGGAAACTGGCAAGATCGATATCAGTCTGTGTCCCATTAACATTTGAGCAGGTGACTTTAAGTCATTATCAACTGGTGTGTTTCTGAATTCTAACAGACTCAAGTAGGGATCTTGTTGGCTTTGTTCAGCCTTTTTCAGAAGATTCTTCATGGTTTGCTCCATTCTTTTGGCCATACTATTTGACTGTGGAAAACCAGGACTAGATGTTACACGATTGTTGCAAGGGGGTTTATGGTCACATTCAAGTATAACTGACATTTCATAAATGCATAATTTTCTTGTGTTGAAGTAAGGACCTTTGAGGCACATGCCACTGGAAGTCTTCCCTACAGAAGCAGAGCACCTAAACCTTTTGAAGATGCATCCACTGACAAGATGATCTGTTTACCAGGATCATAATATTGTAGTAATAGTACTTCAGTGGTCAGGTCTTTGAGTTTATTGTACACTAACTCATGAGATGAATCCCAATGCTTTACACACCTTCTTTCCTGAGGGTTGCTGCTTTTGTGCTTAATCTAGGAATATATTTTGCCAACTGTTGAGAGATATCCAAAAACCTCTGCACTACCTGGCCTCAACCTATCTTTGATCAGAGTATGACCAAGATATTTCACTTCCTTAAGGCCAATTTTACATCTTGCTTTATTAAACCTTAAGTTATTCTCCCTTGCCCTCTGCAAGACTAGTCTAAGTCTTTTATGCTTGTGTTTGGTTTTTTTCCCCAAACCAGGATGTCATCAATGTATATTTGACAACCTTCAATTCTCTCCACGATTTCAGACATGGCTTTATGAAATACCTCAGGGGCACTGTGGAGACCGATGGTAAGCAGAGAAATTTGTACCTCTCAAATGGAGTATTGAAACAACACAATTCAGAGCTTTCATCATCTAATGGAATTTGTCAAAGGTCATTGCTGGCATCAAGCACAGAAAAATATTGTGCTACACTAAGGTGAATTGTTAATTCTTCCTAGGTTGTCAGTTGGTAATACTCCTGTTTTACCTGCTTATTTAAGTCTTTCAGATCAAGACACACTCTCACTTTGCCAATCGATTTTTCAACAATTACCATATTATTTACCCAACCAATTGGATGATCTACCTTTTGAACGACAATATTTTTCTTCATTGTATTTAACTCAGGTTTTAGTCATTCATGAAGAGCCATCGGAATCTTCCTTGGTGGGTGTATGATCCCGACTGTTTGGAATGAGCTCAATGTGATGCTATTTCTTGAGGCATCCTATCCCATTCATCACATATAAATACTGTTGGATTATCTCATTAGCTACTTGCTCACTCTCAGCAGTGGCATCTATGGACCCTGTAAACTTTATCAGTCTAAGTTCCAAGATTGACTTGAAATTGAGAAGACTGTGCTTTGAGGTTTACAAATATGAAGTCCAGAGAACGACTTTGCTCTTTCAGTGTGCACCGTAATCTGCATTTTCGCACTACTGGTACTCATACTCCTGTATAGCTCGTCAGCTTGATTCCAGTCTCATATAGAGTTGTAGGACTACCAAGACTATGATATGTTGATATTGACATAATATTTGCTTGTGCACCTGCATCCAATTTGAATGTTACCCTTTTGTCTCGGATCTTGAGATACACTTTCCACTTTTTCTTTTGCCTTTGTTGACCATCACTGACATGTACTATATCGATAATCAATTCTTCATCGTTGTTATTATCATCACTGATATGTACATTATACACTTCTCCCCTACTACTGCTAAAAGTGTACTTGCTCTCATTGTGGCATATCCTTGCAAAATGTTTTTTTTTACCACAGTTCATACAGGTTTTATTGAAAGCCAGACACTGCTTTAGCCTATGATTGTACCCACACTTATGGCAATCAAATGTAGCTTTTGCTCTCTGAGAACTATGTTTGGCTGTTTTCCATGCTGCTCTGTGTTTACTGTTATTGTTAGGCCTCAAATTGTGGCACTGTTTGTTTGGATTTGAATTATGCTTTCCAGTTCCAATTTTTTCATACCAGGTTACCTTCTGTAAAAGTTTTGTCTTGATGACCCAGACTAACTAACTGTTGCCCTGACAGCTCTGCTTGATGTCTAATATTGACGGCTTTTTTTTTAGAGTCAGTTCTGATTCACAAAGCAGTCTCTCCCATAATACGTTGCTTGTCATACTGCACACAATATGATCCATTATTAGGCCTTCACAGAGCTCTCCGAACTCACATGACGCTACTTTATTTATTACGTCTGTCACATATGCATCAATTGTTTCTCTTTCTTGTTGGGACTGAATGAAGAAGACATGCCTTTCCAACGTAATGGTCTTTCTCGGTGAACAATGTTTCAAATTTCCATTTAATATTGTTCAGGTTAAGCCTATCTCCATTGTCACTAAACACAAATGTGTTTTTCATTTCTATAGTTTCTTCACTGATCATGTGTAAGAACAATGAGGCTTGGAGGTTTCATCTTTCTTATCGTTTCCTGTTGCAACGAGAAATAAATTAAAACGTTGTAAATATTTTTTCCAGTTGTTGGATAGATTACTTTCTAAACATGGCACATACTTTCTGCTAGTTTGGATATACCAACTTGTTGCATTATTCATTGATAACAAGACTAAAAATTGTACACGCTAATACATCTTACAACTGATACAATAGTATTTGGTGGTATTATGTTTTCATTTCTCATGTACATTAAGGACAAATGGTTTCTAGCTATGTGTAACAGCAACAGCAGTGAAATGTATCACGTGTTAATTTATTTAGCACATCAAGAGTAACTAAACTGTATCTAAGAGTTGCTGCAACAGAACTGGAATGTATTATGTCTTCATGTATTAGTATATCAAGTGTATCTGATCTGTATTTCAGGGAAATGAAGTGTCTTTCATTTACTTCATACATTTAGAGCAACTAATATATTCAGCAACTAATTTGTAGCTATGTAACTGCAACAACATTGCGATGTGTCATGACTTGTATTTTATTTAGTACATGACAAACAACTAACCTCTAGCTACTCTTAATGCCCAATTCTGTAAATAAATAGTTAAGGTACTGCTCTAATCACTTTCAAATACTCAAAAGTATATAACATACAAAATTAGTATGTAGTAACATGTTCTTTCACACATGCTATTATACTGTAGCAAACTTAAACATTTAACTTGCCAAATTATTTCCCCAGAAGGTTTTGCTTAGAAACACTGAAATTCCTTTACAGAACTAGCAATTTTGTGTGTGTGTGTATGTGTGTGTGTATATATATATATATATATATATATATGTATGTATGTATGTGTGTGTGTGTGTGTGTGTGTGTGTGTGTGTGTGTGTGTGTGAAGTGTGAACAGAAGCAGTGCAAGTCTTTACCCTTCTGTTCTGTTATTAAAGTTCTAAAGTTCATATTAAACTAATAATAACCAACTGGCTTTTATGCAAGTTTTTAATATATATGGAATAAATGCAAAATTAGCATAATAGATTACAACATCTCGAAATGTTTCAAAGTTGCTTAAAAATGTAAACTAACCTTAATATAGTACTGTACACTAAAGCTTTTGATAGTCTTGGATGAGTTGTAAAATGAGCTATTCTTCTTCCCAAAGGCGTAAGTTCTTCATCTTCATTAAGCACACCCAACTCCTCAAGTGCTGCTACAGCATGACTGATATTTTCTGTGGAAGGACATTCCAGTGCTTGTGATAGAAAATCCTCACTTTTTGCACGTGGACAATAAAACTAGAGAGAGCAAAAAGGAGTATGTGGTTTTTAAAATACTGGTAATAATTAAATTACCAAATAATTTCAATATTGCTTTTATAAAAGTCTAAGCTAAAAATGTAGTTCAAGTTTGTTTATTTGATAAAATATAGAATACTTTCAGCTATTACTCAAACTTGAAATTAACAATTCCTGTTGGAGAATCTTAAAATAGGACATGTAAAAATATATAATCATTTAAGTTCAAACTTTACCTTCAATTATATTGTTTCAAATGACAGCCTGATATCCCATGTTCTACAAATTGTATTTTAAAAACTTGTAAAATTCAGCAAGTATGACATATGTAAATCAGATATTCTGCTTTGAACATATGATGTTATTAATTCTATATAGAATAATTATTTACTCTTCAAAAGATTTTCTATATAGTTTTAAGGCAGACATATTGCATCTCTTCCTCTCTTAAACTCTTATAATGTGTCAGCCTCTGATACTGCAATGGCAACTCATTCCACAAGCCAGTTACCATACTAAAAATATAAACTGTGAACTGGGGCCTAACTTGTATTTTTCAAATCACAAACTTGTGTCCTTTTATCCTATTGCCTTCAAAATGCAGCACAAATAAATGAGAGATCTTTATCCTATTGATCCTCTTGATAATCTTCAATAACATCATCTCTTAACTTTCTTTTCTCAAAATAAAACAAGTTTAATTATATTAATCTATCTAAATGAAGCAACCCATCAGTATCACCTTAGAATTCATACATTAAAATAAATAAAAATTCTGAAATAATACAAGAATATATTACATGATTTTAGTTTTGTAACTTATCTCTATTCAAAATAATGCATTACAAAGTTGCTTTTCATTTTCTGCAGCAAAATATAACATATATATCATAATTATTCTAAAATATAGCTTCATGTCACTAAAATAACATATTTAAACTTACTTTGCAATCTAATACAGTTTTTTCTAAGGGAACTCTCAAAATTTCTGCAATGGGAAATTCTCTCAATTCTTCTACAGTTCTCTTATGAAACAGATGAAAGCATTTGCCTGGTTGGACTCTACCAGCTCGTCCTTTTCTCTGTTTCAGGTTGGCTTGTGTAATCCACTCTGTGGTTAGTACAGCTAAGCCCTTATTGGGATCATACACCATTTCTTTCTGAAATCCAGGATTAATCACATACACAACATCATTTATGGTAATGGATGTTTCTGCAACATTTGTTGCTAATACAATTTTTCTCATTCCTGCTGGTGGACATTCAAAAATTCGCTGTTGTTCATGATAGGGAAGACGGGAATGCACAGGGCATAAGAGGTATCTAGAGCTATCAGAAAAAACATTCTTCAACCTCTCAAGCATAGCTCTGATTTCTTGCCAGCCAGGTAGAAAGCACAAATTGCACCAGGAGGTTCCTCTGAATCAATGA